GCCACCATACCAAGCAAACTGATGTTACTCTTACCCACGGAGGCCAGGTTCATGTAGTTCTCCAGCATCACATCTCTGTAAAGGTATTTCTCAGTTGTGTCCAGTAAAGCCCACTCCTCCGGGGTGAAGTCCACAGCCACATCATCAAACGTCACTGAATCCTATGTTATCACACACATGCTGGTTTGAGCCAATGAACACTTCCACCAGTGCTCACTGGAGAATGAGGAAGGGGAACCTTAAACTCACTTATACGTGGTTCTCAGGTCTCCCATGATCTACTCCAGGGTTTAATGTCTCAGGAGCTCTTGTGTCTAAACACTCAAAGGTGACCTCCAACAGGCATATGCCTTAAACAGCACTTAAAAAAATTTTTTTTAATCTTTTTTTCCTGATCTATTTATTTTTAACTTTTTAATATTTGCGTTTTTAAATTTTAAATTTTATTTTTATTAGAACAGTACTTCCTTCCTAAACATGAATTTTTATCTATCTAGCATCTATCTATCTATCTATTCAATCTGTTTATTTATTTATATATAAAGACAGGGTCCCACTGTGTCACCCAGGCACAACTGCTGCTTACTGCAGCTTCCATCTCCTGGGCTGAAGTGGTCCCTCTCACCTCTGTCTCCTGAGTAGCTGGAATTACAGGCATGAACCACTGCAAACTGCTTACACTTTATCTCAGCACAACCAGGTTAGGAGCTCTTCCTGTCCCATTGGTCTCTATGTAGCACACTCCTGAGCACACTGCAGATACCTGATAAATGCTGATGAGTAAATAAATTATTTGATAAAAGGACACTTTCATCTCTCTTATCATCTGTCACAGAACCCAGCAATATAAGAAACATGCAGTTAGCACCAAGAAAGTCAAGCTTAATTAGTAATTACTGAGATATTGAGATGACTTTCAACTTAACACTTTACATATAGGAGACTTCATTCCCTGCGGAAATTCATCTGGGGACTCAGTCCTTGAGTAAGGCTTCATTTGCTCTAAGAAAACTCTGGAGATGAGTCTGTCTAGAAGGAAATGTGTCTATTGGATGTAAGTATGACATTTTGTATAATGGTACATTGTCTGTTTACCTGATAAGAATTTGCCAGGTAGTCCTCCACCATCCTTTCTACCTTCGTCTTTTCTTCAAAAGGGCAGATTGGTTCCCTGGAAAAAAACCCTAGTGGAAAAGTAAGAAGGCAATGAGAAGCCAGAGCTGCCCATCCTAACCACATTCTCATGCCTAGAAGTCACTCCTTCCTAGCTTGAAATTCCCGTATGCTCCTGCACACTCGAGAAAACTGTACACACACAACACTGCCATGAAATGCCATAGTAGTCCTGTGTCAGCTAGACCCAGAAAAGCAGATGTGGGCCGAGCTGCCTGTTGGGTAAAGGGTAATAGTTTCATTTTACAAGGAAACTTACACCCTGAAAAATGTGACTCTCTATCTGCCCATAGTAGTAATACTCATGAAGCTTATGTAGCATTTCCTAAGGCACACAAACCAGGGCTGAATTCTAAAACAGCATCCTGGCTGGGCACAGTGGCTCATGCCTGTAATCCCAACATTCTGGGAGGCCAAGGCGGGCAAATCACTTGAGGTCAGGAATTTGACACCAGACTGGCCCATATGATGAAACCCCATCTCTACTAAAAATACAAAAATTATGGGAGGCTGAGGCAGATAACTGCTTGAACCCAGGAGGCAGAGGTTGCAGTGAGTCGAGATCACGGCACTGCACTCCAGCCTGGGAGACACAGCGAGACTCCATCTCAAAAACAAAAACAAACAAACAAAAATTAGCCAGGCCTGGTGGTATGTGCTTGTGGCCCCAGCTACTTGGGAGGCTGAGGCAAGACAATCACTTGAACCTGGGAGGCAGAGGTTGCAGTGAGCTAAGATTGCACCACTGCACTCCAGCCTGGGTGACGGAACAAGATTCTATCTCAAAAATAAACAAATAAACAAACAAACAGCATTCTGTTGTGGTTCACTTCAATTCCTCCTAAAAGAATCAGCTGCATGCCTGCTCAGGCCCAGCTCACTGGACTCTTGTGGTGTGCAGGGCGACCTAAAGCAGAATCTCTGAAAAAGAGCATCAACAAGGACTTACCATGGGACAAATCAATGGTTGCCATTCTCTGAAGCTGATGGTGCGATGTGCATCCCTTCCTTGATGCCAAGATCACCTCAGGGCAGCTTATGAATCTAGGTGGATAGAGGTAATCTCCATTCCTCTTTGTACAGGGTTATTTGCGATCCTGTTCATATCAATCATCAAACAACAAGCATGAAACATCAGTCATCAAACATTATGCCTGAGCTTTGCCTCTGCAGGTGACAGATGTGAAGGCCACCAAAAATTGCTCACTCAGTATCGTCACTCAATAACAAAAGTATTAATGACAGTAACTGACATTTACTGAGGACTGATATGCCAGAAGTAGCTCTAGTAGCTTTATATATACATGCTAACTTAATTACAACCATCCTTCCCAATAGCTATCATTACATCTATCCTCTCTCTCTCTCTCTCTCTCTCTATCGAGACAGGGTCTTACTCTGTTGCCCAGGTTGAAGTGCAACGGCACCAACACGACTCTCTGTAGCCTAAACCTCTGGGGCTCAAGTGATCCTCCCACCTCAGCCTCCTGAATAGCTGGGACCACAGGTAGGCATCGTCACTCCTTATTATTATTATTATTATTATTATTTTGAGACAAAGTCTCACTCTGTTGCCCAGGCTGGAATGCAGTGGCGCGATCTCGACTTACTGCAACCTCTGCCTCCCAGGTTCAAGCGATTATCAGGCCTCAGCCTCCTGAGTAGTTGGGATTACAGGTGTGCACCAGGATGCCTGGCTAATTTTTGCGTTTTTAGTAGAGACGGGGTTTCGCCATGTTGGCCAGGCTGGTCTCGAACTCCTGGCCTTAAGTGATTCTTCCACTTCAGCCCCCCAAGTAGCTGGGACTACAGGTGCACACCACTGGGTCCAGCTATTTTGTATTTTTAGTAGAGACAGGGTTTCACCAGGTTGCCCAGGCTGGTCTCAAACTCCTGGGCTCAAACAATCCTCCTGACTTGGCTTCCCAAAGTGCTGGGATAATAAGCATGAGCCACCATGCCTGGCCCATTACCTCTATTTAATACTGAAAAAACCTACATTCAAACAACCCTAGTAATTGGTCTGATATTTGTCCCTAGAGCCTGATCTCCTGTGGATGTTGTTACCCCCCAATATGACCAGAAGACAGTTCAGACCTGCACAGAACAATTCAGTAGTCACCAGCCATGTGTGTTATTAACTTCACTATGTACCTAAGATAACTGAAGAACAGAATTTAAAATTTTCAAAAGTTGGCCGGGTGCGGTGGCTCACACCTATAATCCCAGCACTTTGGGGGACCGTAGCAGACAGATCACCTAAGGTCAGGAGTTCAAGACCAGCCTGGCCAACATGGCAAAACCGTCTCTACTAAAGATACAAAAACTAGCCGGGCGTGGTGGCACTTGCCTGTAATCCCAGGTACTCGGAAGGCTGAGGCAGGAGAACTGCTTGACCCAGGAGGCAGAGGTTGCAGAGGTTGCAGTGAGCTGAGTGTGCAGCCTCTCGGAACTGGCTGCGCAGGGAGGACCGATAGTCCCTGGAGAAGCGAGCGAAGTGAACCGGCTGCGGGAGGCTCCTGCGCGACGGAGCGCAATCATTCCTTTGCCGCCCCCTGCTATCTACGGAACCGCCAAGCAGGCGGAACTCACCACAGCCGCGGCTGACTCCGCCACCATAAAGGCAAAATCCCACTGACCGAGAGGAGCCAGCGCCGGAAAAGATGGCGGTGGTGCGCTGACGTCACTTCCGCTTCGAGCCTCTGACCGGGCGGGGCTCGTGGGCTCGAGTTTCAAACACAGAAATTCTGGTTTCCTCCCGGGTGGGTGCGGAGAAGGCCTGGGGTTAGCACAGGGAGGAGGATGCAGAAATAGATCCAGAGAAAACATTGAGGTTAAAACCGGGCCTCCGGACGGAACTGTGGGCGAGGGGTGGGGCCCGTACTCGGGGGCGGTTTAGAGGTGGGACCGGGCCTAGCAGGCGGTGCAGGCGGCTGGTCGGGCTGGAAGGGCGGGGATGAGGGATTGGACGCATCCCAGGGGATGCTCCTCTAAAGCTTTTCTCGGGAGAGCGCAGTGGCTCACGCCTGTAATTCCTGCACTTTGGGAGACTAAGGCAGGTACACAGCTTGAGTCTGCTGGGAACTGGTGCTTAGTGTGGCAAAATCAACACTGAGACAAAGGATCTCAGCAAGGCTAGTTTACTTTCTGCAGAATGGGTGCCACTGGCTAGCAGTTTTGCCACCAGAGCACACCCTAACAAAAGAGACAGGGTTATTTAAACTTGACGTGTCCACTCTACTGCTGTGTCCATCTTCCATTGGCCAGAACAGGACCTCACCTTCTATACATGACTGAATTGGCTAGCTACTTAGAACTTCCCACAAGAGGCAAAGGCAGAGGAGAACAAAGGAAGAGAGGAAATAACTTGTCGACTGTTGAGAGAGGCAAAAACACTTCTAAATAAAGGAATAGGCCATGACCTAATGCTTGCTTGGACCAGTTCAGGCATGCCCGGGCAAATATCTAGGCTAAACTGTGGGAGCTAAGAACACAGAGTATATTGATTTCTTTATTACAGCTGGTAGAATTTAAGAATATTACCACAGATCTTTCAGAAAATTTGGCTTCTAAGAGGGATTACTATTTATTTTCAGACTGGGAGGAAAGTCCCTTTGAAGAGGAACCGCTATTTCATTTTCTACAAGTCCAAGAGTTTGAGACCAGCCTGGGCAAAGTAGCAAGACCCTCTCTCTATTTATGTATGTATATGTGCATACATATATATGGTGTGTGTGTATACATATATATATGTTTGAAATGCTTGTTCCTCGGTGCCATGAAGAAATAGCACTTGAACATTAATTTAATTTACTCAGCAAGGACGTTTTTAGTTCCTACAGAAAGGGTACACTCACCAGCAGTTTTGCCACGAGAGTACACCAAACAAAGGAGACAGGGTCGTTTATAACCTGATTCTTCCACCCTACTGCTGTATTCGGTTTCTGTTGGCTGGAACGGGACCTCACATTCTATATTTATCCTGATTGCCTAGCAACTTATAACTTTTTAAAAGAGGCAAAGGTAGACGAGAACAAAGGAAGGAGGAAGTAACTTGTGGAATGCTGAGAAGGGTCAAAACACCTTCAAACAAGGAAAAGGAACAGGCTATGACCTAATGCTTGTTTGGACCAGTATAAGCATGCCAGGGCAAATATTTAGACTAAATTGTGGGAGCTAAGAACATAAAGTACATTGATATCTTTATAACGGCTAGCAGATATTTGAGAATGTTAGCACAGGTCTTTGAATAAATTCTGCTTCTAAGAGAAGTTACTATTTATTTCTAATTAAATGGGAAGGAATGCATTTGAAAAGAAACCTCTACTTTAGTTTTTAGATATAAATATAAAGCTTGTTTGTATGTCTCTCCTCATGTTCCTAGAGCCTTTCCATGATTCTTCCATATTGATAAACCTGCCAGTGAATGGCATGGTCTATCTCTTCCATTCAGTCAGGCTTTCTGTAGGCCTTTATTTTTTCATTCTTTATTCTTTAAAACCTGCTGATTGCATTGTGTTTTCTTTCTTGCTGCTTGCTTGCTTGCGACAGATCTCACTGGATCTGGCCAGGATTGAGTGCAGTGGCCTGATCTCAGCTCACTGCAACCTCTGCCTCCCACATTCAAGCGATTCTCCTGCCTCAGCCTCTGCAGTAGCTGGGATCACAGGTGCCTGCCACCATGCCCAGCTAATTTTTGTATTTTTAGTAGAGAACGATTTCACCACGTTGGCCAGGCTGATCTCAAACTCCTGACCTAAAATATCTGACCACCTCAGCCTCCCAAAGTGCTGGGATTATAGGCATATGCCACCGTGCCCAACCACGTTTTCAATATAATAATATTTTCTATAGCTCTTGATTTTTTAAAAATCTTCATCAAATATGTATTTCTGGCTGGGCATGGTGGCTCATGCCTGTAATCCTAGGACTTTGGGAGGCCAAGGTGGGAGGATGGTTTAAGGCCAGGAGTTTAAGACAAGCCTGGGCTACACAGCAAAACCCCATCTCTCTATATATATACATAAAATAAAATTTTAAAATGTTATTTCTTTTTTTTTTTTTGGAGACATAGTTTCGCTCTGTCGCCCAGACTGGAGTGCAGTGGTGCGATCTTTGCTCACTGCAAACTCTGCCTCCTGGGTTCAAGCCATTCTTCTGCCTCAGCCTCCTGAGTAGCTGGGACTACAGGCACGCGCCACCACGCCCAGCTAATTTTTGCATTTTTAATAGAGACATGGTTTCACCATATTGGCCAGGCTGGTCTCAAACTCCTGACCTTGTGATCCACCCGCCTCATCTTCCCAAAGTGCTAGGATTACAGGTGTGAGCCACTGCCCTGGCCAAAAATATGTGTTTCTATTATTTTTCTGATCTTACCACATGGGCCAGGATCACATTTCCCACGCTGTAAAATAGCACTGATACCAGACATTCTCCCCAAGATTATTCAGAAATGTAACATAATCCCAATAAAAATATGAAAAGTTTTTTCTGGAGTTAAGTACATTGATACTAAATTTTATGTGGAGGAACAAACATCTAATAATAACCAAGAAAACAAAAACAAAAGCAATGATGAGCAGCAGATAAAACATACTATTGACAGTTTTCATGCAAGGCAAATAATTAAATTATTTTAAAATAAAAATAAAGGCCGGCCATGGTGGCTCACGCCTGTAATCCCAGCAATTTGGGAGGCCAAGGTGGGCAAATTACCTGAGGTCAAGAGTTCAAGACCAGCCTGGCTAATATGGTGAAACCCCATCTCTACTAGAAGTACAAAAATTAGCCAGACGTGGTGGCACATGCTTGTAATCCCAGCTACTTGGGAGGCTGAGGCAGAAGAGTTGCTTGAGCCTGGGAGACGAAGGTTGCAGTGAGCCAAGATTGTGCCACTGAACTCCAGCCTGGCTGACAGAGTGAGACTCCATCTAAAAAATAAATAAATTAATTAAAACATACTATGAAGCCTCTATAATTAAAACTATGTGGTACTAGCACATGAAGCAGAAACAGACTAATAAAATATCTAAAAACAGACCCAAGAACATGTAGAAATTTGGTTCATAAATGTATTTTGCCAGGCGCGGTGGCTCATGCTTGTAATCCTAGCAGTTTGGGAGACCAGGGCGGGAGGATCACTTGAGGTCAGGAGTTCAAATCCAGCCTGCCCAACATGGTGAAACGCCATCTCTATTTAAAATACAAAAAAAAATTAGCCAAGCGTGGCCGGGCGTGGTGGCTCACGCCTGTAATCCCAGCACTTTAGGAGGCCGAGGCAGGTGGATCACCGGTCACGACATCGAGAACCATCCTGGCCCAACTTGTGAAACCCCCGTCTCGACTAAAAATACAAAAATGTAGCTGGGCAGTGGTGGGGCACTTGTTAACCCCAGTTACTCAGGAGGCTGAGGCAAAGAATTGCTTGAAGCCCGGAGGGGAGGATTGCAGAGATGCTCCCTGCACTCCAGCCCTGACGATAGATGAGTTCCGTCAAAAAAAAAAAAAAAAAAATTTAGGCCAAGCGGTGTGTGTGCCCCCTTTAGCCACAGCCGACTCGAAGGCTGAGGCAAGAGATCACCTCAAACCCTGTGGAGCAGAGGTGCAGTGAGCCGAGATCACCACTCGCAGACTCCCAGCCGGCGCCGACAAGCGAGACTCCATCGCAAAAAAAAAAAAAAGCCGGTTTGTGTTGCTGACACCTACAATCCAGCCTCTGGGAAAACAGGTTGGATCACCTGAGCATGAAGCAGGAACCAGCCTGGAACCAACCATGGAAAAACCCCATCCTAACTAAACATACCAAAATAGCCGGTTGCATTGCACATGCCTATAAGCCAGGGCCAGCGAGAGGCTGAGGCAAGGAGATAGCCTTGGAACCCAAGAGCCCAGAGGTTGGAGCGAGAGCTTGCCATTGCCACCCAGCCAGGGCAACAAAGAGTGAAACTCGTCGAAAAAAAAAAAAGGTCGGCATCTTCACGATTTAAATCGGGCCGAAAAAATGCCAATTTGTATGAAAAGGTCTAAGAAGCTTTAGCCCATCTGAGGACAAAAAATGAATAAATCCATACTTCACAGCATATACAAGAATAAACTCCAAACAGACTAGGGATCTAAATGTAAAGAATAAAACCATACACGCATTTAGGGTGTTCAAGTGATTTCTTGGCTGAGTGAGGAAAAAGATGTGACCACAAGGCGGCAGTAGCACACAAGCTTTATTTGGGATGTGCTTTGACAGGTTACCAGTGGGGGAGGTAGCAAACAGCAAGAGAGTATCCACAGGCTTCTACCTGTGGGTCGCTGCTCAGAAAGGATGGCTGATCTGGCTACGTTAAGGCCGGCCAGGAGGGGTGCAAGGAGTGGGGTGGCTCAGCGAAATTTGGGATGTAATTCAGGGGAAGCGATGAGAAGTCGTCCTTCTGGCCTACTGTACACGTATACCTGGGGAAGCACGTGAACTAACAGGCACAGGAGAGGTCCTGGTTCAGTGCTATTGATGCAGTGAGTGAGACCTGAAGTGCAGGCTAGACAGGTATTGTTAGGTGCCTGGTAGGAGACTGAGGTGCTTAAGGAAGTAAGCAGGGACTGGTTACAAGTAGCCTGAAAGGGAGAAGCAGGTAAGTTATATCAGATGCTAATTAGACAAGAAGCATTCCCAGACACATCTCCTAG